CCTCGGCGGTCCGGTGTGCTCAGCCCTGAGAATTTACAGTCACACTCCTCGGTCTGGGCTGACTTGACTTTTCGGGCTTCAAACCACCCAGACACCTTGAACAGACTAAGAGAAAACGCTACGGGCAAACACTAGAGGTTTTTGAGGGGTTTTTTCCACCCGACCTAAATTTTTTTCGGCTGGAAACTTAAATTTTTCCACCTTTTTGTGATGCCTTTGCTACAAAATAACAACAAAAAAGCAACAGAAGATGAGGTTTTAAATACGAGTCAAAAATAACTTACTAAAAAAGTTATCCCTTCCCCAGCCCTGTAACAAAGACAGTCGGTCGCCTTCAAAGTTCGTTCATTTTGTGTAACAGTTTTTTTTTTGTGCTTGATAGTAAGAATTTTGCTAAATAAAGTTATTTTATTTTTTTTTGCACTTTTTTTTCGTAGTGCAAATCTCACAAGTAGTCCAGGAACGTAACCCTAGAAGGGGGAAAAAAAAATCCCAAAGGGTCCTGGTGACCTCCACAAGGTCAACTGATGCCCCGCCCCCCCAGCCATTGTACAGTCATGTTGTCCAGTTTCGTCACGCCTTGTAGCGGTGGCCCCGGCAGGCCGGCCCACATTTCGGGCAGCGTCCGTAGAACGGTTGAGCCTTTTCACACTGGAACAATTTTTCTCGTTGGCTGCTCGTAAACAGTACAAACCACACAGAAACAAAAACGGTCCTCTCCAAACTGCTCAGCTGGCTTAGTGCTTCAAAACTACTTCTTGCGAATAAAGTGCTCCCCCCGCCCCCTCGGGTGCTATTTGACGTGTTCGGCTGCGTGCGAAGAGCAGTAGTACTTTTTGTGGGCGATGAACGTGGATAGGCTGCTGAACTTGATGTTGCAAAGGCGACAGTACCTGTGGTTCCCGTTCGGCAGGGCAGAGGACAGGCTGGCTTTGGGGGGCTGCATGGGCTTGTCCCCGGGAAGAAGGGCGTGCGCCGGCAGCCTGGTTTCAGCCAAAGGGTTCAGAGGAAGAGCTGGGGAGCTTGGCAGCAGAGGCCTCGAAATACTGGTGAGCACTGGCCGCGGAGTGGCGCTTGAAACCGGGCTGCCGTTGGAGGAGGACGAACTGGCGGTGTCTTTGCTGTTTGTAATGTCTCTCGGCAGCCCTTGGCCCTGCAGTGGAGAAGTAGAGGAGGCCGGCGGGCTGGGCAAGCTATTCTCGGACGAGCTGCTCGGCTGGACCCGAGCGGGCAGCAGCACCTCCATGAATGTGGTTTGTAAACGGTGACCCGGGGTGGGTTTGGCCAACAGCAGACCGTGGACGCTTCGGAAATGTTCGAGGAGGTCCCCCCTGATGACGACGTTAGTAGGGCAATAGGGGCAGGTGGTGGTAGTAGACGGGGAAGCCTCGACCGAGCCGGTGGTGTACTGCTGCAGAGGTTTTGTGTCCGGGATGGCGGTGTAAGGAATTGCGACTGGCTGGATGGAGTCGCTCATGGATCCTGGACTCAGAGTCGTTCTCCGCTCCACTTTGATCCGCACGCCTTCCTCTCCGATCTTCCCTGAGGCATTGAGAGGGGACTTAATTTTCTGAAGTTGCTGTAAGGCTTTCTGTTGTAAAGGGGCCACCGGGCAGGAAAACTTCTTGTGCGCCAGATAGCTTTCCAGGCTGTGGAAGCTGATCTGACAGGCCGTGCACTCGTGGTAATCCGTCAGAGGGACCACTGCTGCGGCGGCTGCCGGCAGTGGCAGCGGCAGCGGAGACTCCACAGTAAGGCGTGGCTTCTTGCTGAGGTCGATGGGCCCGTCTTCTGCATCTGGGCTGGAGCTGGGTGAGGGTACGCTTGGAGCCGCTATCAGCCCTGGTATGAGTGGAAGGGCCTCCACCCGAGTCAGCGGGAGCAATGCAGGAGGAGTTAGGTCTGCAGGGGATATGCCGTGGATTTCATACAGCTTTCGGCGTTTGCGTGTTCGCGGAGGAGGCTGAGGTGTGTACAGAGGCCCGGGCTTGTTGATCACCCCGCTGCGCCGCAGGGGAGGATCGTGACGTGATGCGCAGTAGTAGCGCTTGTGCACCATGTAAGTCTCGTGTCTGCTGAAATGGATATTGCAAGCGTCACAAACGGTACGCGTTGGATTTCCTTCTGCGTCCTCCAACGGACCGGGGCTCTGGCTGCCTTCGCTCACATGGCCGCTGCCGGACGCTTCGTTTTCGGCTCCGGTGCCTTCCTCCACTTTTATTTTTACAGTCAAAGTGCTGCTCTCCCCTGATGCGTCTTCTTGTTGCGGGCTCGCCCTCTGTTCCTCAGCCACTGATATGGCAGGGGCCGCAGCGGCCCGCACGGGGTGGACCTTCACCTTGCGCCCGCTGCCAGGGTTGTCATCTGACAAGTGGCGCCCGGAGCAGTAAAGTTTTTTGTGCACGTAATAATTGTTGATGTTGTTAAACGTGATCTCGCACTCGTAGCAGGTGGCGCCCTTGGGCGTCGGGGTCCCCGAGAAGCCAACGGAAGCGACGGCTTGTCCTTGTTTCAGGCGGTTGTGTACCAGCTCGGACATCTTGGCCAGGATCTCTGAAGCTTGCGGGACGATAGCGGGAGCCGCCTCATGTCCGAACATGTACTGAGGCACTATGATCGTCCCCCCACCGGCAGCTGCTCCTGACTCGTTGGGGACCGGGCTGGACCCCGGGGTGGGACTGGAGATCTCAGTCTTAACTTTGACAGCTGGAGAGGGAACGAGAGCAGATTCATCTCTAGCCTTAGGGCTGCCGGAAACGGCTTCGCTGACTGGCCTCAGCTCATCCGGTTCCTCTTTAATGTGGACTTTCAGAGGCGGATCCTCCATACCTGAGGAAGAGGAGGAGGAGCCTGGGGATTTGGCATCTCCATTTTTCAAGCTATCGGGAGGCTGCTCCTTCTCCGCATCAGACCTGGGGGACCTGGAGATGGACTGAGAGGCACCTGGGAGGGAGGCAGCGGCGTGCATGATGGCATGCTGCTGGAGACTGGCAAGGCTGTCCGCCGAGAACCCGCATAAGCTGCATTTCAGAAGGTTGGCGATCTGAGTTATACCTGTAAAGAGAAATGAAACCGCGTCACTAACGAGGAACAAACTGCACATTAAAGATTTGCTGTTATAGAGAACACTTAAAAAAGGCATCCTAAAAAAATAGCAAGGATGAGTAATGGCCACAGCTTCCATCACACATGGCCTGGGTGCTGACTCTTAGGGGGCTGATTTATAAACCATTCACAGGGCCGTTTGCCCTGTGAATATATGCAAAAATGAATGTTATATCATTTATTTCCCTACAAGTGTAATTGAATGTTCTCATTGTAATACTGCATTGTGGCCACAAGATGGTGCTAATGTAGCATAGGGAATAAGTATTTATATTTTTATGTTCCTCAGTTCCAGCTAGCGGCCATAACACTTGTAAAAGGGGGAAAAATACAAGTTCATTTGAGCATATATTGGCACAGGACGAACGTTGTTTATAAATCAACCCCTTAGTATGGAGGAAAAGAAAGGGCTGGGCTGACCAGGTCTATTGGAGTGCAATGGGCACTGTGGTCAGACTCTGGTGCCTCCTAGATTGTACATACAGTATGTAGACACCCTGCATACAAGAAAGCGGAGGCATGACCGAAAATGGAGGCTGTTGGTACAAAGTCCGTCTATTCTGTGACTTCAATGAGGCTTTACATGGTCATTCCATACTTCAGTCGGTGCAGAAACACAGAAAAACCTTCCAGAATTTACACAGCAGTCACGATATTAAGGACCGCTGACAGCGAACCCTACCGGAGTTCGATGGCTTGATGGCAGGCAGCGTCTTCACTGCCGGGTACACGTCGACCTTTGCCCCGGGCTGGCAGATCATGTGATTGGTCACCAGGTGGCTGTACAGAATGTCCCGTGTGGTGGAGATGAAGCCGCAGCCATGGCAGACGCCTAAGAGCAGAAACAAAGGGGAAAAAAATATCACACTGCGTCCTAACAGACTGGATCAGTTCAGTTACTTAGCACTCGGCACATTAACTTTCCGAGCGGAGGGCTGTGTGCGGTCTGAGCCCTTCTCTGAGACCAGTGGAGTTTAGACTAAAACCTGTATACAGTGGTACCTCGGTTCACGAACGCTTCTGTTCGCGAACAAGAAGCTCGACAAAATTTGGCTTCCGTTCGCGAACTCCGCATCGGGTGACGCACACAAACGCAGCCATCTTCCCCGCTCTGACGCGTGGTCGTGGCTTCCTCTAGTTGAGATTGCGGTCTGATCGCAGTTTGAATCGGTTCGCGACCAGAATCATGGAACAAATTAAGTTTGTGAGCCGAGGTACCACTGTATGTGGCCGGAACGACTCTTGAAATCGCCTGATTTCAGAGAAGTGCGTGTGTCAGCCAGCCCCAGACTCCGCCTGGAAGATCCAAAAACATCTTCCTTTTCTAAAAGTAATTTCTGACGCAACATCACATTTTTTTTACATCTGCTGTTCTGTGTTTTATTCCATTGCATATACAGATTTATAAATGCTCCCCCTGGTGGCCAGCTGAGAGAACGTATCTGCTTCCATCGACCTGTTAAATGCCTCATTGTGTTTCGTTGTATCTTTTCAATAAGTGCAAAGAATACCTGTTGATCCCGCCAAAAACTTCCTGTTCTGTACCCTTAGCAGTTACACTGTTCTCAGCTATTTAAAGACTACAGATCGCCTCCCCCTATTTAAAGGATTATTAAAGCCTCACGTTTTTTTGCTAGCAAGCAGTAGATATATACAAAAACATTAGGGGAAAAAAAAAGAGTTAACAAAAGGGTTAAAACTTGCCTGTGTCCCAGCCGCGCGCTCCCGTCCGAAGATCTGAAGAGTCTCTGGGGCGGCCGTAAAGGATCATGGGGCGGCCGCATGTGCAGTAGCAGATCTTCGGACGGGAGACGAGGAGAGACACAGCAGGGTAAGTCAATTGAGGCAGCGTGCCCCCGCCCAGACTCCGTGGGAAAGGAAGAGGCAGGAGTCAGCGCTGGATCACAGACCGGCACCAGCGCTGGAGGGACTCTTGAAAACTACAGGAAAGAAGATGATCAGATGAAGAGGCATCACTGGGGGGAAATTTAGGCTTTAATGTCACTTTAATGAAGATGAGACGTGGAGGTGTTCAGCAGCCCAGTCTTGGTGTGACAACACTGCTCCTCCATAGATGCAGTACAGTCAGTGAGTGTTGTCACCCTAAGACAGGAAGTGTGTTACTGGCAGGACCACCAGATAAAGATAAAAGAAAAAAGGAGCCGGAAAAAAAACCTAAAGTAGACGTCACGTCCAGGGACTGGGATATATTACATGTATGATTTAGATCAGTGGTTCTCAACCTGTGTAACCTCAGGACCCACATTTGTCCTTGTCATTAAGACACTACAATCTCACGTTTAGATTACTAATTTTTATTGAGATTGTAGTCCATCCCTGGAGTGAGCTTGGAGCGGTGACTACTTAACAACACACACAGGGACCATGGGGAACAAACGTAGCCCCCCTCCAGAAGGAAGGACAGTGTCAGAGATGATTGGAGGATCTACAGCCGAGTGACACACAAATAAGAGACATTGTTGTTCAGAGTTAAGGGACCGGAATGTATTTATAAGATTTAACCCCTGGGTTTAGTGTCACTTTAATGGCTGAAGGGGACAGTACTTGTTCAGCTTAGTCCAAAATGTTGACAATCCATTTTAACTATCCCAACCGCAGACTTGGGGACAACAAAATGATGGGCTAGAGTAATGCTTTTCCAATCCGGTACTCGGCAGCTGCCAACTCCTTGGGTCTTATAACAGACTAAGCTCTGCAATAGTTTCTGTACTTCTTCCAGCTGAAACTATTCGGTGAAGCTGTGCTATCAGGAAGTCTTGAAAATATGAACAGTCGTGAAGCCACCAAGGACCAGCATGGAGAGGCACTGGTCTGAAGCCATCAAGGACCAGCATGGAGAGGCACTGGTCTGAAGCCATCAAGGACCAGCATGGAGAGGCACTGGTCTGAAGCCATCAAGGACCAGCATGGAGAGGCACTGGTCTGAAGCCATCAAGGACCAGTAAGCCTCACGTTTTTTTGCTAGCAAGCAGTAGATATATACAAAAACATTAGGGGAAAAAAAAAGAGTTAACAAAAGGGTTAAAACTTGCCTGTGTCCCAGCCGCGCGCTCCCGTCCGAAGATCTGAAGAGTCTCTGGGGCGGCCGTAAAGGATCATGGGGCGGCCGCATGTGCAGTAGCAGATCTTCGGACGGGAGACGAGGAGAGACACAGCAGGGTAAGTCAATTGAGGCAGCGTGCCCCCGCCCAGACTCCGTGGGAAAGGAAGAGGCAGGAGTCAGCGCTGGATCACAGACCGGCACCAGCGCTGGAGGGACTCTTGAAAACTACAGGAAAGAAGATGATCAGATGAAGAGGCATCACTGGGGGGAAATTTAGGCTTTAATGTCACTTTAATGAAGATGAGACGTGGAGGTGTTCAGCAGCCCAGTCTTGGTGTGACAACACTGCTCCTCCATAGATGCAGTACAGTCAGTGAGTGTTGTCACCCTAAGACAGGAAGTGTGTTACTGGCAGGACCACCAGATAAAGATAAAAGAAAAAAGGAGCCGGAAAAAAAACCTAAAGTAGACGTCACGTCCAGGGACTGGGATATATTACATGTATGATTTAGATCAGTGGTTCTCAACCTGTGTAACCTCAGGACCCACATTTGTCCTTGTCATTAAGACACTACAATCTCACGTTTAGATTACTAATTTTTATTGAGATTGTAGTCCATCCCTGGAGTGAGCTTGGAGCGGTGACTACTTAACAACACACACAGGGACCATGGGGAACAAACGTAGCCCCCCTCCAGAAGGAAGGACAGTGTCAGAGATGATTGGAGGATCTACAGCCGAGTGACACACAAATAAGAGACATTGTTGTTCAGAGTTAAGGGACCGGAATGTATTTATAAGATTTAACCCCTGGGTTTAGTGTCACTTTAATGGCTGAAGGGGACAGTACTTGTTCAGCTTAGTCCAAAATGTTGACAATCCATTTTAACTATCCCAACCGCAGACTTGGGGACAACAAAATGATGGGCTAGAGTAATGCTTTTCCAATCCGGTACTCGGCAGCTGCCAACTCCTTGGGTCTTATAACAGACTAAGCTCTGCAATAGTTTCTGTACTTCTTCCAGCTGAAACTATTCGGTGAAGCTGTGCTATCAGGAAGTCTTGAAAATATGACCAGTCGTGAAGCCACCAAGGTAAGCTCTGCAATAGTTTCTGTACTTCTTCCAGCTGAAACTATTCGGTGAAGCTGTGCTATCAGGAAGTCTTGAAAATATGAACAGTCGTGAAGCCACCAAGGACCAGCATGGAGAGGCACTGGTCTGAAGCCATCAAGGACCAGCATGGAGAGGCACTGGTCTGAAGCCATCAAGGACCAGCATGGAGAGGCACTGGTCTGAAGCCATCATGGACCAGCATGGAGAGGCACTGGTCGGAAGCCAACAAGGACCAGCATGGAGAGGCAATGGTCGGAAGCCACCAAGGACCAGTATGGAGAGGCACTGGTCTGAAGCCACCAAGGACCAGCATGGAGAGGCAGTGGTCTGAAGCCACCAAGGACCAGCATGGAGGGGCACTGGTCGGAAGCCACCAAGGACCAGCATGAAGAGGCACTGGTCGGAAGCCACCAAGGACCAGCATGGAGAGGCACTGGTCGGAAGCCACCAAGGACAAGCATGGAGAGGCACTGGTCGGAAGCCAAGGAGAAGCACTGGTCTGAAGCCACCAAGGACCAGCATGGAGAAGCACTGGTCTGAAGCCACCAAGGACAAGCATGGAGAGGCACTGGTCGGAAGCCACCAAGGACCAGCATGGAGAAGCACTGGCCTGAAGTCACCAAGGACCAGCATGGAGAAGCACTGGTCTGAAGCCACCAAGACCAGCATGGAGAAGCACTGGTCTGAAGCCACCAAGGACCAGCATGAAGAGGCACTGGTTGAAAGCCACCAAGGACCAGCATGGAGAGGCACTGGTCTGAAGCCACCAAGGACCAGCATGGAGAGGCACTGGTCTGAAGCCACCAAGGACCAGCATGAAGAAGCACTGGTCTGAAGCAACCAAGGACCAGCATGCAGAAGCACTTGTCCGAAGCCACCAAGGACCAGCATGGAGAGGCACTGGTCCGAAGCCACCAAGGACCAGCATGGAAAGGCACTGGTCTGAAGCCACCAAGGACCAGCATGGAGAAGCACTGGTCTGAAGCCACCAAGGACCAGCATGAAGAAGCACTGGTCTGGAACAATGAATCAGGGTAGCCCTATAAACTGACCCGATGCTACAGTGGCTGCCCCCACACCATGTAACGGTGAACAAAACATTTCACGCAGAAAAACCAAACAACCCGAGAGGAGAAAGCGCAGGTTACCGTACCGTTCAAGGTGTCAGTGTGGACCTTCAGGTGGCGCTCACAGTTGGCCTTGGTGGTGAAGGCGGACAGGCAGATCAAGCACACAAACGGTCGTTCTCCTGCGGGGGAGATAAGACACACAGTTAGCGCCACCCCTGGGCACCTCGTTATCACAAAGCAATAGTCGCCACTTTTGCTCGCAGTGAGAAGCATGCACGCTCTGATTAAGATGGCGAGATAACATCCCGCGCTGCGATTCATCTGAAGGGGAGACTTTGAACGCAGAGAGTGGAACATCATATGAAATACAAGAGACGGGAGATGAAATGCCGTCTCAAGTGCCAAAAATGTTCTATAACAGATGACTATCCTGAGCTGATCTATGGAGGAGCCCTGAAATATCAGCGTATGGGGCCCCTCTGCTGCTGTACTGGGGTGAATAACAGAGGACTGCCAAAGTAACAAAAAGGTTCACTGATCACATATCGAAACCCCTGTTTTATTCCATCTGCTTCTCTACTTATCATTATCGTAGACCTGACTGTTAAAAATAATGTTTAAGCGGTTGTGTACACCGGACATGCTACAAAACTTCATGAATGTACACACGTGTGTAGTATGTCCTGTCCTTCTACTGCTGCACCCTTACTCCCCTATCCCCACCACACCCCCTTTGAGAGATAGCATTGTTTATAAAAATTGATCAGAGGGAGATAGAGGGATACAAAGTAACATTGTTTATAAACATTGATCAAAGTAACCTTGTTTATAAACATTGATCAGAGGGAGATAGAGAGATACAAAGTAACATTGTTTATAAACATTGATCAGAGGGGAGATAGAGAGATACAAAGTAACATTGTTTATAAACATTGATCAGAGGGAGATAGAGAGATACAAAGTAACATTGTTTATAAACATTGTACAGAGGGAGATGGAGAGATACAAAGTAACCCTGATATTTTATACTCTTACACATCCCTCAATTAAATATTAACTTCCTGTGGGGTTTCCCTATTTCAGACCTGGCTCCACCATTATCGATGTCATTGACCAGGTCTACACTCACCGCTGTGGCTCCTCATGTGAATCTCCAGGGAGCTGGCGCTGGGGCAGCTCTTCTTGCACTGGGGGAAGGGGCAGACCCGCTCGTTGGGGTAGGAATCTTTCGGCTTCTCCTCCATTGTGGGGGAGGTGGAGCTCTGGCGGCTGGCACAGTAGTACATGAGATGAGCCTGCAGATTGCGCTCGCTGCGGTACCAGATTCCGCAATCCTTGCAGGGGAAAATGTCCTCTGGAATGTGGAGAAAAGAAGAGTTTAGAATTCTGATACAGCACGATGGTTCTCCGGGGTCAACACATAATGCAACGGAACATATTAAAATCTTGATTAATAGCACATTAGATACATATGAAGATACATTCATGTTCCACCCATACACCCCAATATATGTGCCATGTATTGCCCCATACAACCGCCAAGTTTTGCTCCATAA